ATCACGGCTCTTTGGAGAGCACTGCAGGCATACATATGTACAGCTCACAGCTACAGAGAGAAGCGTGTGCTGAAACCCAGCTCATGTTTCCTCGCCTAGCAATCCTGCCTTGACTCATGTTTAATAATCCTTCTACTTTCCAGCAGGACAGAGAAGGGCAGCTCTCATCCTCAACACCTCTGCAGCCCCCCTGCAGGGCGCCCCAGACACCTCTGCCCCTTCGCTGCCAGCAGGACTGGGATACAGAGGTGTTACCAACATACCCAGACCTTCCAGCCCTCCCTTCCTACACTGAGCCATCCACCAGCATATTTCATGCACTGTACTCTGAAGGGTACACAGTGTTTTAATCATGTAATGTAGTAATAACATAATTAAAGTCCACACCATTTCCTAAGTAACATGTATTACTCCAGTCGTTGCTTTGATATATTAAAAATAGATTAACTGGTTCCCAAAGCTTGGGGCCAGGCAAGACAGTGGGTTTCATACTGACCTCCCACCAGCCACGCTGCCCCCACCAATCCCACTTATGCTAATGGAAGAAGAAACTTTTGTATGTTAAAGATGTCATACATCCAGCACATCTCCTGCTGAGCTTCTGCAACAACACAGACATAACATGAAGGCTGGTAGAAAGGTAAATTGGGGGTTCTCAACTTGTGGGGACACAGCATGGCTTCGAGCAAGGAGCAGCACTGCAAATGCTGAATTCCCATCAGAGACCAAGGGAACTGCCCTGCCTTGAACATCCACCCTCAGAAAACTGCTTTTCCCCCAAAAGAGTCTTTGCCAGGTTTAAGAAAAGATGGGAATGCATAGGTGCTGCTCCAGGGGAAGAGATGTGCTGCAGAAGAAATGGAGCCCTACAGGAGCGTGCATATGTCTGCGTGCCTATAGAAGCTGGCACTGCAATGCATGCAGAGAGCAGACCATTCCTTCTCCAAATCAGGTACCCAAAATGCTGAAGAGACTGAGCAACACAGCGCCGAGCTTTAATCATTCATCTGCTTCCTTCCTCCCCAGCACTTCATCTGACTGATTCTAATTAAACTGGATTTTGCTCTTCCGAGCCAGGAGAGCTTTTGTTTTATTTGTTCAAAGACTGTTTCCTTGCCACCCGATTTCCTCCAAATCTCCCTCACAGGGACTCAAAGGCGGCGATTTCACCACCTCTGCCAAGAGCATCAGCTGCTGCCTAGCGGGTGAGAAGCAGCATGGAGAGCTCACTGCGTGCTGGGGGATTGCTGGGAGCCGCCACATGCCCGATGGCAGAGATGCGCCATCCCAATGGAAGGGTCTCCATCAGTTCTGCAGGGCTGGAGTCAAGCCTGGTGTGGTTTAATCTCCATTGCTTATCACACTTCTACTACAGAGAGTTTTCACTCTTCCATCTTTTAGACGACTGGCACAGGTTGCCCAGAGAGGTGTTGGTTTCTGCACACACTCACAGTCAGGGCATGGGCTCTGAGCATGGATGGAGCTGTGGGTGTCCCTATGCAGTGCAGGGATTGGGACCAGATGGCCTTTAAAGGCCCTTTCCAACTCAGGCCACTCTGTGATTCTATGATTCTATTTCCCTTAGCCCCAATTTATTGCCTCCCGGTGCCCTAAATCACATCCCCACGCTGCAGGATGCTGCCCAGTCCCTTATCTGCAAGCATAGCACCGCTCCCAACACCTGTTAGCAGAAACGATGGCCACCTCCATACCTCCATGCCCTGCGCTTTTGCTGCCAGAGCTGCTGTGCTGCTCAGCCTGCTGCAAATCCAAATCCCTGCATGAACACCTGCAGCACACAGGCAGAACGACACACCTCTGGTGCTCAGTTAAAGAGTTAAAGCTGTCCTGGAGCAGTGGGCTCGTGCAGAAGCTCCTGGAGCAGGCACACAGCTGCAGGGCAGCGCCGGTCCCTGCAGCACCGTATAATTCCTGCCCTGTTCCCGGGGCCGCAGCGCTGCCCGTGCACAATCCCAGCACTGTGCCGGGCTGGCCCAGCCCACACAACGCCCGCATTCACTGCCATGGAAATGCCCTCCATCCCCACGCATCTGGGGCTGCTGACCCTCCCCTTTGTAACATGGAAAACGCTCTTAGTTTAAGTGTTGGGTTTGGGTTTGTTTTTTTTTTTCCTTTTCTTTTTTTTCCTTTTCTTTCATCCTTCTAATCCACTTGTTGGACCAGGCAAGCAGCAGGGAAAGGGAAGGGCAGTGGCACGCCAGCACTGCCAGCCCAAAGCTGGCAATTACGAATCCCCTCTGGATGGGGAGCAGGGTGTCCCACGTGGCTGCATTACAGAGCAGCTGGAAGATCCCAACTGGCACACAGTGACCCCACTGCCATCCTAGGAACACTGCAGAGCTGGAAGGTGCACTGCTGGGTTTTGGTTTCCCCGTTTCCCAAAGCTGCTCCTTTCCAACAGCCAGCTCTCCTCAGTAACATTTCCAAGCCAGCACAAGGAAGCAGGACGATCTCTCTGACATTTAACGTGATAAATACCCATGCATGCAGGCACCAGCAATGAGAAGCCAGCTCGCTCCTGCAGCCACATCTGATGCTGTGCGCATTCACCCCACGCCCCAAGCTGGCTCAGAGACCCGGGAGCTCTTAAGCAGCCCAACACTGTGGCTCCTGGTGGCACTTGAGATGAGGAAGCACTGACAACTGCCCTCATGGTATCCACACCTGCAGGGATGGGATGGGATGGGATGGGATGGGATGGGATGGGATGGGATGGGATGGGATGGGATGGGATGGGCAGAACCTCTCACCTGTGGGCTGTTACAGGGAAGGGTATTGCCCACATGTGGCTCTGTGCAGCCTGGTCTGGTGGTTGGCAACCCTGCACAGGGCAGAGGGTTGAAACTAGATGAGCACTGTGATCCTTTTCAACCCAGGCCATTCTATGATTCCATGATTTCAGGAGTGGTGGCAGTGCGTGGGGACTCCAGGGGCATCGTGTGCCTGATCCAGGGCAGGTTGGCACCTGGAGATCTGACCCCAGGCTCACAAACTCCCACAGCCTTGATGTGATGCCATTTATCTACTTATAAATGCTCCACACACACACACCTTGGCCTTCTCAATGAGCTATTCTTTCTCTTGTAACTCTAAGTTTGTCGGGAGGATAACCATCATGTTCTGAATACTTACGTTTTCTGCTTTATTAACCGTGCAAGTCATGCATAATTTACACTGGAGGAGAACTGCACGCAGCACTTGGGTTCCTCTAAAGATTATTTTGCAGAATACAAGCTGGGTAGAGCAGAGAGCTGGCCATCCTGCCTGGGGGCACCAGCTCTGCTCTGCCCGCATCCCATGGCCCCATCACTCCGAAATCTGTCCCCAGCTCCATTCCCTGCTGTAAATGCATGTAAATGACTTCCTAAGCGCAGCTTCGCTATTCAGAAGCAACAGAGGAAAGTTTAGGGGCAGACGCACAGCCAGACATCAGGGGATCTTCATTCTATTTTTTGTACAAACCGGGGATAGAAACGCAGAGCATTGGTTTGCAGTTAAATACTAAAGTGCACCCACAGTGCTGCTGTGGACACACACACGGGTTCCCCTTCCCGGGCCAGGGCTCGCCTTGCAAATCTTACTCGGAGCACCGACTCCCAAATACCCGATACCAAAATGCGTGCACCACAGCGGGATTTCGGAGGCGCTGGCCGTGCCCCAGATCTGGCAGCTTTCGGCAAAGCTCTGCCCATTGCAGACAGACTTCGGGAGAGCCGACAGAGAATTCACACAAAATGGGTTTCCAACGCAGCGCAGCCACACACGGCTGAGCTCACAACGCTCCCCCCTCACTCACCCAACCCCAATACGGCGTTACGTTGTACAGAAAGGCATCGCGGCCAAACCAAAGTCCTGTGATAAACCCGCCCGTCACTTTGCGTACACACGGATGAGCTCAGCCTGGGGCAGGAGCTGCCTTTCCAGCAGCCCGAGCTGTGCCCGAAGCTCTCCAATCCGCACCAACGGTGCCGTTCCATCGCACCCAAAGCTCCGCGCTGTGCGCCGGGAGGGCAGAACCCGGCGCTCCGCCGCCGAGAGCCGCACGTTGGCGCCGGCACGAAGCCTCCGATATTTTCGGTGATACAGAAAATCAGTCAAAAAAAAAAAATAATAATAATAATAATCAAGACATAGGAGAGGAAAGGGGAGCGGGTACAAAAAGTACATCTTCGACCCGGGGGTGGCGAGCCAGGAGCTCGGGCTGAATTCACCGAGTCCACCCGACACCCATCGCCGGAGCTCAGCTCGCAGCAGCTCCGCGCGGCCGCCGCTTACATAACCCCGCCGCCGGGCAGGGGGCCGCGCAACGGGCGGCGACCGACCCCCTCCCTTCCCTCCCCCGTGTTCCCCGCCTCCGGCTTCCACCGGCAATCCGCCAAAACGGGGCCAGCCCGACCCGAGGGAAGGTTGGGAGGGAGGGAGGGAGGGGGGGGGGAAGGAGGACAGCGCGGAGGAACGAGCGAACCCGCGGTTCCACGCACCGCCCGGCGCGGAGTGAACCGGCGGAGCTCTCCGCACCCCGCGGTGATGGGAGCGGGGCAGGGGACGCGCATCCCCGCGATTTGCAAGTCACTGCCCGGAGCTGAGGGGGGAGGATGGCGGTTCCAGAGGAGCGCTCCCCTCCTCCGCGCCGCTCGGCCGCGAGCACCGCGCGCCCCCGGCGGAGCGCGGCGAAGTTTGCGCTTTTCTCCCCCACCCCTCGCTGCGCGACCGCGGGCGGCCCGGAGCCGTGCTGTTAACAAGTGCGTCGGGGCCAGGCACGCGGCGGTGCTCCCCCCCCGCCTCCCAGCCCGCATCCCACGGCCCGCATCCCGCCGTGCCCGCGCGGTGTCAGCGTCTCATGGCAACGGTGCTGCCTCCGCCGGCTCCCGCGGCGCTCGGCGGCCGCGCGGGGATCACCGCACCTCCCGACCCCCCCCCAACCCCGCGTCCATCTCCGGCCACAGGCGCGACAAGGTCACGACTCGCCCCGCACTCACCGTACACCCCTTGCCCGGAGCTGCCCTCCAGCAGAACCGTCAGCAGCCCCAGCAGCCCGATCGCTACATCCATCTTCACGTGAGCATCCACATATCCAGCCCGGCGGTGGGGGGCCGCGGGGAGGGGAGAGAGGCAGCGCGAAGCCCTCCGGAGCCCCGCGCTCCGCTGCGGCCAAGCCGCGCACGCCCGCGCAGGCAGGGCGGCTGGGGGCAGGCGGCGGGCACCGCTCCGCTCTTCCTCCTCCTCCTCTTCCTCCTCCTCCGCCTTCTCTTCCTCCTCCTCCTCCCTGCGCAGCGGGCGGCGCGGAGCGGTGCGGAGCGGCGCGGGCCGAGCCCCGCTCACAGCCCCCTCAGGGCTCCGGCCGCCGCCGCCGCCGCCTCCCGGGGCCGCCGAGAGCCTCCCGGGGCCGCCGCAGCCTCCCGCGCCCCGCGGCCATCAGATGCCATCGCAGCGCCGCGGCCCCCGCATGATGCGCGGGGCCCCCCGCGCGGCGCGGAGGAGGGGGCGTCCGGGGGTGGGCGCGGGGCCGCGGAGGTGGGGCCGCGGAGCTGGGGGCCGGCCGGGCGCGCAGCGGGCAGCCCTCGGCGCTCAGCGCGCCTGCGGAGCGGCGGCCGGGCCCATGGCGGGGGCGGCGGGGGTCCTTCTGCCGCGCGGTGGTTGCGCGAGCGCGAAGCGAGGGCGGCCGTGTGCCGTCACGTTGTGCTGCTATACGTGCCGGCTGCCGGAGCCGGGGAGCCGCAGCCCGGCGACGTCAAAGCTGCGTGGCTGGCTGCCGCGCGCCTTCCTCCGCCTCCTCCTCCTCCTCCGCCGCCGCCTCCCGGGTCCCCGCGGCTCCGCCACCGCCGCCGGGTGCGCAGGGAAGCGGGCGGTGCCGAGCCGGAGCGCCGCGCCGCGCCCGGAGATGGGATGCGCGGGGCTGTGCGTTTAGCCTTAGGATGCGCGGAGCGGTGCGGTGCCGTACGGTGCCCCCGCGGACCACGCTGCGCGCCGGTGCTGCGCGGGACCGACGGTGCGGGGCGCGCTGCGCTCGCTCTGACCGCGCGCTCCGCTGCGGGGCGGGTTGCGGGGCTGGGGGGGCGGCACGCCGCGGCTCCCCAGCACCCCCCATCGGCACCGGGTAGAGCTCCGGGCTGTGCTCCCCCGGGGCCGTGCGGGAAGTGCGCTGGTGAAGGGTCTCTCTTGCCCCCGTTTACCACCGAGGGCTCGTTGGGAAGTAGCCGGCCGTGTCCGCGCTCCTTCTGTTTTGGTTCCTTGGGTTGCACTAAAACCATGGGCGCCTTGAGGCAGTTCATACTTAATGCGGGCGAGGAGGCTCAGGATCTGCCCCATCACATTAGCACAGCAGTGAGGGGCAGAGCAGGGTTTGGCCTGCAGTCTTGAAGTGTGGCAGTCTGGACATGTACGGTTGCATTCAGTTTCCTCCCCTGCCTGTATCAATTAAGGATTAGTGCTCAAGGCCAGGACCAAGTGATGTGCTCTGGAGCAGTGGCAGGATTTCTTATGACCCCTCTGGCATGAGGTGGGACTGTGCTAACAGGGCTTGGACATAGAATCATGGAATGGAACCATAGAATGGCTTGAGTTGGAAGGGACCCAGAGGATCATCAAGTTCCGACCCCCCTGCTGCATGCAGGACCACCAACTTCCACATTTCATAGCAGCCCAGGCTGCTCAGGGCCCCATCCAACCTGGCCTTGAACACCTCCAGGGATGGATGGGGCATCACAGCCTCTCTGGGCAGCTGTTCCAGCACCTCACCACTCTCTCAGCATCTAGAGAACTGATTCTGTGTCCAACCATTTCTTCTTCCGATAGAAAACCTGGGGGATTCACGGATGTTTTCTATTCTGGCTGAAGGCTGGGAAGGCTTGCAGAGATCCAACCTGGTATTTAGACACACGCTAAAATCCATTTGGCTGTTGCTTTGTTAGTAAGACTGGCAAATGCATGGTGGTGCCTCCAGCTGTGCCCATACCGTAGGGCACTTGGTGTGTGTGCAGGCCAGCATGCTTCCCTGCTATAGACATGTACTGGAGAAAACAGCAGAGCCTCACCAACGATCTTCTTACTTGACCATAGGATGTGACAGTACACTGTAGATTTTCTCCTGCTCCATGTGCAAAAAGACTTCTGGGTGTGATGGAGCCCTGCGTCCGGAGGCAAAGGATTTCCAGGTTGTGGGTCACTCAGCATTGAGGTATCTGGGGTGAGGGGAGACAGGCTGGTACTTCCCTCCAGGGTGGTAGATCTGACTATCCCAAAGCACAGGCACTGCTGGAGGATGAAAAGTGCCCCTCTTTGCCCATCTTTCACTTGCAAGGAGAATTTGGGGGCATCTGCCTCAGCAGATCTCCACAGGTGGCAGCACAGCCTTCAGTGGATTGTGGATTACATTCAGTTGTCTGTTGCCTTGTTGTCTTTGCTCTGCCTGAAGCCAACCTCCAGCCCTCTCTGTGATGCTATGCACCTTCAGAACTGACCCTGATGTGACAGCTTTGCCACATTTTCTGGGCTTTGGTGAACCCAACCCAGGTCAAACACACACCCAAGGCTCTGCCCCCCTCCATTCAGTCTCCTTAATCCCACAGCCAGCAGACCTACAGTGTCACATATGGGCCTCCTCAAGAAGCCATTTTGACCCTGTGGAGATGCTGTGCTTTTTCTTCACCCATCTATGGCAGGCCCTGTCCTGCTGGGGACACTTCTCAGGAGGTGGACGTAAGGATGCCCCATCCCTGGAAGTGTTCAAGGCCGGGTTGGATGGGGCCCTGGGCAGCCTGGTCTAGTATTAAATGGAAAGATTGGTGGCCCTGCATGTGGCAGGGGGGTTGGAGCTTCATCCTTGAGGTCCCTTCCAACCCTGGCTATTCTGTGATGCTGCAAAAAGCCTCCTTATGTACCTTCTGGTCAGCGTTGCAGGTTGAAAATCAGTAACTCCAAAAGGAGTTTCTGGACCTGACACAGTTAACTTCAAGATTGTTGCAACCCAGACACATATTATTGGGTCCAGAGGATTGAAACCATTAAATGGTTGCTGTATCCCATAGAACAGCCATGAGAAGGGGCTCAGCATTGTGTTAGCATGCCGTTGGCACTCGTTCTTGGAAGTTGGGGCTGCAGTGCTGCAGAGGCCAAGGCACCACTAAACCTTCCCACAAAAGCACTGCGGCTGAAATTCATGGAAATCACTCGGGTTGAAATTAAACAGGCACTTAAATCTCTGCGGGTTAAGTGCCCAAATGATATTCCCTGAATAGTGCCACGTCTGGCGTGGCTTTTTTTAGAAGTACCTGATTGATTTCAGAACATTTAAATGTTACTGCTTTTGCAAAGGTCTGCAGGGAGAGGTAGAATCATGGGATCGTAGAAGCGCTAAGGTTGGAAAAGGCTTCCAAGATCATCAAGTCAAGCCACCCCACCATGCCCACTGCCCACATCCCTCAGTGCCACATCCCTATGGCTTTGGAACACCTCCAGGGTCAGTGAGTCCACCAGTGCCACTGCATCACTGTTCTTTTGGAGAAGAAAGCTGGCCTTCAAATCCCTTACAGCTTTCATTTATCCCCAGAAAGGCTCACCTGTCACTTTTAACCCCAAAACAAGGCTCTCTTTGGGTGCTGCCCCCATCATCCTCAATGCACAGCCCCTCTGTGTGCACCCAGAGCTCTGCTGGCCTTTTGCAGGCATTTTGGTCACAGCATGTTGTAGGCCCCTCTGCTGCAGGATGAAGTGTGGTAAATAAAATAAAACAAAGTAAATTAAGCTGAATTAGGCTACCTGAATAACAAAAGATCTGGGAATGTAATGCTTCTAACAGTGTAGCCCCATATATACTCCACAGGTTTCTGCCATGGGGCTGCTCACATTCTCTTGCTAAGATGGGTTTTGTTTTGAAAATTGAAACAGGCTCATTTAACAATGTTTAGGGCCAAACCTCCAAGGGATGGAGTTATTAGATAAATAACTAAGCGTGACGGACCCTTTAGACACACCTGTTATCTTCAGTGGTGCAGTTTAAGTCTCAGAACTATTATAAATTACAGCAAACTACCTAATTTCAGGCTAAGTCTGCTCTACAGGAACTGGTGTGAATTGAGAAGAATCCTCCTGGCGTTGAAGAATTTACATGGGTGAGACAATCTGAGCCTGTGGTGGGAGATACACCTCTCCAAGGCCAAATTAAATGTTACTGTCTGCCTTGGGCTTGCTCTCCTCAATATATTTCCCTTTCCCTCAGTTCGAACCCTGTTGCTTTTGGTGCCTTTGCACCCCAGGATGATGCTGCTTCTTGGCATGGGTTATGCTCCATGGCTAAAAGTTGCATTCTGGGTTATTGCTCTGGATCCAGAGAGGTGGCTTCATGGACAGTGTCGTGCAGCCTTCTTCAGCCTTACCTGGGCATGGACCGCTGCCCAGTAAAATCTATGTTAAGGTCTACCTTTAGTGACCAGGGTTGTCTCTGCTCCATGCACTGTGTTTCACACCACCCTGAGGTCTTTTTTTTCCCTCTGCAGGAAGCTCCCGTGCTCACAACTACCTGTGCTCAGTGAAGGGAGCCCTGCAAGCAGCCCTTGCCTTAAATTTGGAACCTCAGCAGTGCACTGGGGCTGGGGCTGGCAGAGGGCATGGCTATGCTCTGCAATGGGCACCAGCCACACCGTGGAAAGAAGTATTGTGAGCAGCTGAAACAAAGCCTGCACATCTCCACTGGTTTTTCTTCAGACTCCTGCAGGGCAGAGAAACAGAAGCTGGCCTGTGAGATGCTGTGTGTCTCAGCCCTCTCTCATCTGATTCGCCAGCCGGGAGGAGCAGCCATAGGGATGGAACCAGCAGCAGCTCTGCCAGAAACAGGGCTGGAAGTGCCCCCAGCTGGGGTGGCCATAAGGAACATTTATGTTTGGTAGGAGCAGAAGTAGGGATGCACACAAGTTGCTGCTGCTGTACTGCTGCTTGCTTTTAGTTAATCTATGCGAGCCGTGACCACCTCGAGGACCCCATCTCCTGGCTCAGGAGGAAAGGAGGAGGTCCTCTTAGATCCCTATAAACACACTGCCCCGATGCCCCATGCCTACAGGATGGACTGGCTGGTTGTATGTAAACCTGCTACACTCAGACATACAACGCTGTCTGCTTTGGTCTTCCTACAACG